TTGGAAAAAACTGCCAATAGGCGCTATCGAAACTAATTACCCCTGAAAACCATATGTTCGGTATACCAGAATGTAGGTATAACCTACTTTTGCGCCGTACACAATGCAATATTTAATAAGTTATTACGATTTTTTGAGAAACCAATTACTCGGCTATCTAACTGAAAAAATACTGATAAAAAGCACTCCGCATAAAACTCATAAAGATAGCAATAAATGACGACAAAAAAATGTAGGAAGGAAATCCTCCGGCGCGGCACTCTCTCTTTGTAACTGTTTCGGCGTTTGACCCGCTGGTTTTTTTACATTTATTTTCATTGTAGGAGACGTAACTGTTGATGGTGTTTCGAAACATTCGCACTCGCGTTATATCATTTACATTCATAATTGACTTGTAAATACTTGCTATGCAGGAATTCGATGCCCCAGCATTTTTGGGATCGATTGTCCGATAATAAAAAATCGCAAAATACCGTAGAAAAATATGAATAAGTAAATACATTCTTAACGTGGGTTAAGTAAGACGAGAGAAAATTTCAAGGGGAATAGACACCTACATCGTCACCAAATTAATCATGTTTGGGGTTGCTGTATTATATTTTTTTGCTAGAGGATTAACGTGCTGAAGAATAAATCAAAAATAAACTTTCCTCACGAGCAGAAGCTGCAATCGACCTTTTGATGTGGATTCAATTATTTTTTTGTCGCGGAAATTTTCGGTTCGAATTAAATTCTCGACTCGACATTCGCAATGCTCGTTGGAAAGTAAATTACCGCAATGATTAAAGATAGCGAAGCGAAACTTTCTCTCGTTAGATGATAAAGTCTCATTTCCCGCAATCTCATACAAGTTTCCTAATGGGGATTCAAAAATTCTTCTTTTATAACAGACACCATCAATAATATTACTATTACCTCTGCGCTTATATGAGTGCAAGGAAGTTATTGCAATGTTCAGGTAAAGAATTTAACCATAATTTATTGAAATGATTAGAAAATATGAGCCAATACAGTTTAAAAAATCCCTAAAACTCGACATAAGTTAAAATCCATTTTTTTAATATCCCATGAAAGATTTTACGATTCTCAAAGCAATATTAATAGTCAAGAGATGGTAAGATTTGAAGATTAAATACAGAAGATGACAATCCGATTATGTTCCTACTTACTTGAAGTATATTAAATGGTACACAAACGAAATCTCATCAAATCCTCGGTTTTGTTGGGCAACAGAAATTCTACTCGTTATTCAAGATGCTAATGCACCTCACCCATATAAAAACTATCCTATAAATTCTTAAAAAAATGTTTAGATAATAAACAAGAGGCTATTGAGTAACCTCAATAACTTGATAACAATTTTAATCCGATGAAAATCGAATTTTTATGCAAATTCACACTAAATCCGAGTGAAACTAACTAACAAAAATGTCGTGTACCCATCTAGTTTCTATTGTTGACTGAAAAACACCGTTATGCGATCGCAATTGAATTCCTCTTGCACAAAAAGCCGCGTAAATTAAAACCTATTGACAATGATTATACGAACCGAGCGAAAACTGAAAAATGCTTTAGATAAATAACATGCGGGTATCGGGAAGCTTTTTGAAAAATGCAATCTAGCTCGAATGCAACAGCAATCGGTCGACCGATGAGGCATTGATTAATTGATTGCGACAAAAAAAATAAAAAATCCTGTTAATTTATCGATAGAAAAATGCAAAACTGACCAACAATACAGCAAATTTATTTGCATATCACCTGAATCTAATAGTAGTGGAAATTAATACAAAACGAGGCGTCGATGGAATTAATAAACAGACAACTTCTGCATAGTATTAATGCAAAATATTACAAGCGTTTATTATTATTGTAGAAATTGTTTATGTGATTGACGTAATCGAAATCTAAAATTAGGAATTTTTGTTTAATTTCGTCGTCAATATTCTTTAAACACAACATTAAAAACTTCATGAATAACAATTTACAAGCCACTCCAATACAAAACACGATATATCCAATTCGAAACTCTTGATTAATTTACTAATTAGTTGCTACACATTTTGTAGATCTAATCTATTCATTAGATTTTTTGGAAGGACACAAATTCAGGACATATTTTTTTATTTTTGGTTCTCTCCAAATCGGCTTATCATCACAGCTTCAAATAAAACCAACACAAAATCTGTTTGTTTAATCAAAGATTTGTAAAAACATGGACAGTAGTATCTACTTTTCGCGTTAATGTGGCTGCTATTGAAATCAACTAAACTGGTCAAGGATATCGATAAAGATGGCGCGCGAACTTCCTACGTTCCTCTATGATATAATTTCTTTATAAAGAGAATGAACGGGTTTTATTTAATCAATGTTGTTAGCAGTATATCTAATTACATGTTAAATCGAATTTTATCGGGTACATCGAAATTCCGGCAAGAGTAAAACAGAAGATCCTCGTATGGCGTCAACTGTATTAATAGTATTCAAATCGAACCGAACTTTCTAATGCTATAGGATGCTCACAATTAGTCATAAAATGTTTTGGTGTCACTAGAACGGTTTAAATCTCTGTCCTATAAGATCGCCGTATAGCAGGTGGAATATTCAGCATTTGCATTTATTTTCTAAAATGAAGAAATCGGTAAAATACAGCAGAGACGGATCGATTTGTAGCAAAGATTGCCAACAATATAATAAAAATGTCACTCGAATCTTAATCCAACACTGAGTTGAACAAGATCTGATTTAATTAGTGGGATATAATTAAGTTGTTTCAAGCAAAAAACATGTAAATTAACATAGAAATTAATCAATTGAAACAAACATTTTTTAACTTAGAACGTTGCGGATTCGTTTGACATAGAAACCGAAAAAAAATCTCAACGGTTTAATAAACTTTATACCGTCATCGCTAGAATGTCGTGACCAAAATTATTGAGAAAACAAAGAAATCATGCACAAACTGGCAGAAGGACTGCATGAACTTTACAATAGTTCAAATGGAGGTCAATCACCTGTAAGTTGATGATGCATATTTTTAAAGGAATTCCGATTTTCTTTCGTGCGAAAACGCGCCGATTTCAGTGTATAAACCTAAATTAGGAATCTAGATTCGCACGAAAGGGCTCTATAAAGCAGCGCTGCAGTAGTGGGTTCTAGCATAATACCGAAGGGGATTCGAAGCGTATGGAAAACAATTAGCTAGTGCAGTAAATAATTGAGTTTTAATATGTTCAATTAAGCGAATGCGAAATGTGCACCACGAGGCGATAGTTAAAAATAATTAGGTATGTTCTACAATACCATTTTTTGTTAAAAAAGGTCGTTAAACTGATATGCAATATATGGGTTAAAAAAATTAAAAAAGCTTTATCGGGCTTTTTGTTTGCGAAATTTGCCCTAGAAAAGGTAATTTAATTAGTAAATTTTGCTGTCTTTGGTAAAATAGGTCAATTAAATCTCCTAAATTAGCGAGTAGGTTCGCTGTAGTAATTTTGACCCTCCCTTATGTTTCATAATTAAAACAGATATGTGTATAATTATCAGCTCGAATAATATTTGATACTTGAATATTTTAAAAATGGGGTACAGTTTAGAGAAATTCATGTGTAAAAGTTTACAGAAAGAAAAGTGTATTACAGACTCTTTACTTGGACAATAATAGTACCTACTACTTGAAGCGTCGATATTATGAAATTTTTTAATGAAACGTAAACAAACATTTACTTAATTTCAATAGATACAGCATGTTTAATAGAACTGTATTTGTTATTTAAATTAATTTTAATTTGAAATTAGCATAAATTAAAATACTATATCTATTATTATCTGGATTTTTAGTTGGCTAATAATATCTGGAATATAAATCATATTAAGAAAACTTTATTTGTGATCTGCAATAAAAATGACAAGGTAAATTTAAATTTCTCGGAACATATAATTTGTCAAAAATTTTTCAAATTTTCGTTTAAAAAAAGTTAAACCAAACATATCATCAGAAATGATTTCATTGCATCAATTCCTTTTAATTAAACCTAAAACTAAATATAAAAATGATTCAACAATAATAATAATATTCTTCCTACTTACAAATCACACATAGATGTAGTAACCTTACTTCAAGCATCTGATGACACGATAAAATTAATTCGCAATTTACATAATATATTCGATATAACAATTCAGGTGAAATATTTGATTGAACTCGACACGAAATTTACTAAAAACTCTGAAGTAGTTTTTCATGTGTCTCGCGAATATCCGCCCCCGATTGAAAATTGCACGACGTGCGGTTTCCAGTGTTTTAGACGTTAATATTCACTTTAATATGTGTAATGGAGGCCATCAGTTTCCAAGTTTGGATCGTTCGATAGACATTAACGTTCGTATTATTGAAAATCGATTTCTATAATTCTATTAAATTGGCGATAGTTTAGTAAATGTTCGGATTTATTGTGTCTAGATAAAACCCGAAATGTCGAAACGTAATATATCTACGAGAACACAAATCTCGACAATGCTAATTCGTGACTAGAAATTTTTTGTGAAATCATATTTACTCACTGACCCAGGAAACAAAGAAACATCTTTCATTTTAATAGTTGCTAAATAGTGTAAATTTTAACTTATTGCATAATTTATTATGCAAACTATCTGTTGACAGACATAGAAACTAAATTTAGCATTGCATATATTACTATTTTGTACGTTATGAATATGTAGACTATGCCAATAGTATTAAAAAAATGACGATAATAAGCATATTGTAATTGTTAAAGGTGTTGTTTTTATATATAAACAGTATTTGGTAAATTTTAAATAAAATTATATGGATTTTTTTGAAATACATACGGGAAACGCGATTCTGGCATATCCTGCTTGTAAACAATCCCTTTAAAAAAGTGCCTGATTCCGTATAAAATTACAATTTCCTCTACCAAAACTTTTAACAAAAGTTTAACGCCCAATATTTACAATGCAATAATCCCAAACAATTTTACCTGTAACGTTGTTCCCTTATGCAAAGTATCAATCCGCCCGGTCGCAGGTGGTACGTCCTTCCACCTGAGCACCCCCATAACCGCCTGTCTCACCCAACCCCTAGGTAAGGTGTTCCTGTCCGTTTCAGAGAGGGTACGCATTTAAACCGCACTTACAAAACAAATACCCAACTAGAAAAACATGATCATCTCGACAAAGTCACATAATCGAGAATCCGAACTCACTGGTCTGCTCGCTTCGACGGGTAAATTCGCGAAGATAATTTAGCGTAAAAAAGAGCGCATTTCGAACCGCATTCGCAGCGCCCAGTCGCTCGCACGCTCGTCTTCGACGGACTGAAAATCCGCACCGAAAAGGCTTTTCGAAAAAGCGGCGGGCCGGATGCCGAGCTGCTCGCGCATTCGCTTCGACCAATCGAGTTCGTGGTACGAGTCGCTCGGAAAGGATTCGCGAACGTTCGGCGCGGCTCCGGAGCTTTTCAAATTTCGCCGGAGAATTGTCAAGTTGGTTCTCCTCGCGTTCGACACCTGAAGATTTTAACGCCGCGCTTGGAGGTTTGTTTGTTTGTATTCTGGACCCGGTGCGGTTTTTTTCCGGTTAAATTCCTTTACTTAATTGAGAGTGCGAGCATAAAAATTACGCACGTCTTTTGTAATTAAACCGATGCCTTCATGATTTAGTATATAATTTTTGGGAGAGTTAATAAAGGAAATACAAATTTAGTTATTCAGTATACAAGATTATTGGCCTCCTTAGGAATATCCTCAATTCTTGGATAGTATAAAGACTCTTTGTAGATACCAAATTGACTCTTTGATACAAGTCCCTCTTTAATAGATAAATTCAATAATATAATAAGTTGCAAGGAAAACGCATTTCACACTTATTGTTTATTTACAGTTTCTCGACTTCCACAACTCATATTTTCCCATCTGGACTTTCCAAGTAATAATTACCAATTAGGTACCATATACGCATTTCCTGTTTATTAAGATAATTTTAGCATTTTCGTTTTTTTTAAACAATATCTAATAAAAACGTTTCCGTCATACCCATGAAATGAAGGATTATCTAAGAGCCGTTTTTTAGTAGCGAATACCGTAATACTTATGATATTTCTCTTTAGCATTAATCCAATTAGGGACAGTTGACTGTCTATTGTGTGTATTCCAGATGGAATTTACAGTTTTGTAAAGTTAACTAGATTGCGGTTTTATGGTATAGTTAATTCGGAGATAATTCGTTTAATAACAATGAGAAAAAATTTATACAAATAATATGTTTTAAAAAAAGTATTGCTGTACAAATTGAATTAGACAGTATAATTTCTTCAGGGCAATTATAATAATTGTCCGAAATTGATGAGTAGAAAGTATAAGGGTGATTCTGTATCAAGAAATAAGATAAAAAGGTATTTTTCTCAATCTAAAAGTTTGTTGTAAAATAGTACTGTAGTTGTTTAAATAAGTAATATTATAGGTTTCTTCAAATAAAATTTTAATTATTAAGAATTTTTTCATCTTATTTTAGACAAAACCGCCTCTTAAATTTCTTATTTATCATATATATCACCCTGTATACAGTATATTTTAATATTTCTCGTTTTCTCATAACCGTCCTAGACCTTAATAATTTTCATAAAGAAACAAAAACAACAATTTTTCATTGTTCAGAAGAACAAGCAAACAGTATAAGAGCACTCGAAATTTGATATCCGTAACTCGACAGTTACAAACCGAATTGTATATTATCCGCGGCAATTTTAAATTTGATGAAATATCTGTGGGAACGTTCGTTAATCAATTGTGCGTGGCCCAGTTTCGCAATCCCTTTGGGATTTTTTTTTGTTTCGCCTTTAATTAAAAAAGATACATTGCCGCTGCCATTGTGTTGTCGAGTCCATTTAAAAGCAACAAATAAGAATTACATTAAGCATTTATTTAGGTTTCTTCAGCTGTGATGAGATCGAGTAGGCGATTTTAGTAACAATGCTGGGAATGATGGATATAATTACTTATTTGGGGCAAGGTTTGGGTTGCTTAGTGGAAAATTGAAATTTTGTATAACCGTTAATTTAGCAATTGGTTTAAATAATATACCATTCAAGACGCAAAATTTGTATGTGACAAAATAATAATCGTAAACCAAACATTTTTAAACATAAACTTTCCTTGGAGACTCCTATCTTCCGCCTTTTCATAATTATACGTAGTCGTTTTTCCCATTTTCCAGACCGCATTGTTCCTATTTTTTTTTTCATTCGTATTTCTCCCATTCATTCGAAAGATCGACTTTTCAACTCCATCTCACTGTTACATTCCCAAGTCTTTTCATACCGAAACAAAGCCCTAATCAAGAAGCGAATTTCCAACGTTTACCGTTAAAGAAATAAAATCCTTCATCGCCGTTATTAAAATCCCCATTGCCGCGCTTTTACCACTTGGAAGTTTTCAATCGAGTTTGAATCGCAATTTGTAGATATACTCTGAATAGTGAATTGCAAGAAAATAGTGAATAATACTCATTATTATTTTTCGTAGAGGTACAAATGAATCAGCATGCATTGGGAAACGTATTTCTGATCCCGATTTTAGCTATAATTTTGTCATCTTCTGACATTTCCAAGTTCTCTCTACTTTATAGAGATAAATGAGCACATGTAAACAAATGTTTCAGTTTTGCAAGTCTTCCAAAATTAAACATCCGAGAAATATCTCATGCGACAAACTTTCTAATAAGAATCCGTTATAAATACGATATCCACGTTAGCCAGAAATACGACGAGAACGATTTCCGAATTCCAGTCCGGATCACTAGAGGAAAGATATTTTCGTAAATAGATTAGTAAGACAGAAATAAATGTCCAGCTGGTTATAAAGTTGAAAATGTTTACGCCATAGTCCGACAGACAACTAAGTGAAATTACAAACACCATCTGTATGCAACGTCGATGCTCCCGAACTCATTTTTAATACAAATAGAATGTGCCGTTTGTGTTCATGATGAATAAAAATAGAAAATATGCGATGGTATAAAGGAAAGCACGTATGCATCGTTTTAAGATTATCGGCGATTATTGTCTGGAGAAATTAAAGAGGAGTTTTTTGGTTTCTATACTGTATGATAAAGATACCAAAAAGATACATTGATACGTTGCATACACGTGATCTGTGCAGTTTTTCAATCTATTCTATTCAATAATTCGAAATTAAAAAATATCAAATATTTTCAATACATTTATTTCAATTATAGGCATCATTTTATTAAATAATATAGCTGTGATAATACACTAATTATAAAATAATAAACAGTAAAGGAGGCTTAAAAACTGGCCTATTAAATGTAAAAAATGAGTAATAAATAAAATTGTTACAATAAATTACAAACATATTAAAAAATGACAAAGTAAAGGAAAGTCTCACAAATATATAAATGTTCTTTAGTGATTATTAATAATAGTAAAATGAGTAATATTAAGTAAGTACAAGAAAATTAAATCAGGCATTTTCTTATACTTAAAACATAAGTGATTTTAAAGTCAACTGCCTGCAGCAACTAATTAGATTAATGAAACATTAGCAATTTTCAGGCTTATTTAAAAGTAGTAATTGTGAAACTTTTCTATTTATCACAAAAAAAATCAATTAACTTATTTCTTCCTGCTGGCCGTGGAGCAAAACTGAAAATACAATACTACTTTTACAAAACAAATCAAATAATGTAATAAAATTTAACGATAAAATTAAGAACAACATTCAACTTAAGAACACCAATCAATAAACTTACCGATTTAGACATTATTTTTTGAGAGTTTTTCTCCTTTCCTGCGGAATTGTCTGATGATAAAGTTTTCGATAAGATATTTCCAATTTTGGAGGAAGTATCTTTGTGCAGGGACACAGAATTACAGCGCTTTCTAACTTGGGTGTTCATGCTGGTTCCTTCGCTAATACTCTTCCTTCTAGGCAATTTCGACGATACACTAAAACTAATAATTTTACTCCCTTCTAAACGAAAACAAATATAAAGATAGTTTAAAAAATGTAATTCATTCTTATGAAATTTTATAGAATGTTTGAATTACCTAGTTTTATTCGTGATAGATCCCAGTTGGACAATTCGAGGTGCAAGAGACGGTTTCGGCATCTTATTGTAAAAAATAAGCATTAAAATGTGTAATGTTAAAAAACAAAGCGTATTTGTTTAATGTTTAATTTGTGATTTCTTTCTTTAATTGATTAATAAAAAACAAAAAATCTTACTTTAGGTGTACTCGTGCACATCTTTTTTGGAATACCAGGTGTAAGTTGTGTACCTACAATAATAAAAGAATAATATGGTAGATTACTGGCATAAGTTAAATAAAACATTTAATAAAAAATACTCACCGCTTAATACGATTTTAGGTATAGTACCCTTATAATTATTAGATTTAACCAATCGAGTTCCAACAGACTTCGAAGAAGTTAAAGATGTGTTCCCTTTGGGTGCGGTAGGAGATTTCTTCTTGATGTTATGCTCGATTTGAAGAGATTGCGATAGTGTCTTCTTGGTGTCCTCTTCCAAAAGAGAAGAATGGCCCGAATCGTCACGCGGACTTCTCAGTGATTCGTTCAATATGTCCTCCATATCGTGCAACAAATCGATCGCTTCCAATGTTTGCCTATCATTTCTGCAGGGCGACTGCAATATATCCGTCACGTTAAGCAACAGCTCATCCAGTTTGCATTGCATGAAATCGGTTGGACCGTTGGTTCTGACGTTGGTTCCAACTAAGTTGTTAGATGGTTCTTCATCGATTATTGGCCATTCGGGTTCTGGTGTGTCATCTAATAAAACTTTATCTGAAAAATACGCAGGAATGTTGTTAAAAGTTTGAAAATTTTGGTAAGTAACAAACAACGTACCTTGATTTATAAACGATTTCGACCAGCCCTCGGGCGATGCAGATAACATCTAAAACACAAGGGCAAACTTTGACACTTTCTTTTAAAATTCAAACATTATTATCATGTATAAAAATGCCATAATATTCAGGTGTATTAAAAATCTAATTTTGAATAACGAATAAAAAACTTACGAGGTCTAATGAATCTAACAATTGAGCATTGTTAAATATGCTGGATGATTTCGGAGATAAGAAGAAATCTTCATTTTGCATCTCTAAATTGGAATCTGCCATAACGTTGGAAAGAAAGATGAAGATGAGATTTCTGGAAGAAATAGTTTCAAAACTATTCAAAAGTGGAAATATCCAAAAATTATACTTACCTGCTTCTATCACGATGGTTCGACAAACAAGAAGGATCGTCACTAAACTTTTACTGATATCCACACCGAACTAGTTTTTATAACGAATTGTTTATTTTTATTTATTGGACGAATATTTTTACTACATCAAATTATCTATTTTCAAACACACATTAAGAATAAAATTAAACAAAATTTTAGTGTATCAGGTACAAGCATTTTAAAATTTAAACGCGTGCCAGTTATCAAATTGGCAAACGAATTAACTAACCCGATTTAGGCAACTATCTTTATTTTACGATACTTTAAGAAATCTTAAGACAATCAATACTCGAATTTATTACCCCAATAAAACGCCCCGTTATACATCCACACCAACAACTAGCATAGAAACTAAATTCTAAACTATTACTTGCTTACGGCAGTAAATTCAGAACTGTCAAATATCGCATTTCCTTATTGCTAAACAGCACTTAACTCCGGCTCGTTCTCGCCGACGACGTTTTTGGGAGACTCCTTTTTTCCTTCGGGTGCCATCCGGTTTCCCTTCGACTTTACATTCAAAAGATGCCATCCGTTTGCGCGTCCAATAAAGCATATATGGATAATATTGAACGCACCAAGACAGAACTGCACTAAACCACTAACAGCATGTAGCTTCATTCAAAAAGCTCCTTAAAAAGCTTTAAACGCAGCTTAATAAAATGTTTTACAGTGCAATTAAACAGTGAAAACTTACAAGTAGGTACCAACAAAGTAAAAATAACAATAAAATTTATATAAAACATATGTAATTATTAATTCCAGCAAGCGTAAGTATCAAAAAAATCCTATAAGAATCTCAAAAAAATACTAGTTTCTACTAAAGGTTACTCTTATAACTATAGTGAGGAGTAAACATAATTGGTGCAGTTAGGATGAATCCGGACCGGATTGGCAGCGGGTAAGCGGATGAAATGGATAAAATGTTTGATGGGCCGAGGCACCGGCGTCGGCGGCAGGTGCAGGGTGTTGTCGGAAACGGCATGTGCCCGGTGCCCGACGATCCGACACCGGGCCATATGTCGGTGCCTCCTGACGATTATCTGCCGGCTAACATTCGATATTTTCGGCCGTGTAATTAACAAGAAGACTATAACATTCCGAGGACTGACACGTAAGTATCTCGTTGCGAGAGATTATTTTAGAGGTTTCGAAGTGCTATTGAAAGGAGTCGACTGCTTTATGTACTAATTCGAGCACTTGAAAGATTGTGGGCTTCTTGAAAAATGTGATTTGTCGAAATAAACGGAGTGTTATAATTTGTGTTAATTCTATTTTTTACGTTATTTGGCGTGAATTTCCAAGTCGGTTCCTTCAAGCCATTATAAACCTTAAGTAAACAAGGTTTATCTAAATTTATCGGACGAACCGTATAAAATCCATCAATAACATTAACCATGACCATCGGCCCGAAGTGAAGTCATTGTACTTTAACGTGTCAGTAAAACGAATCACTTAAATTTTATTAGCTGATGAGAAAAATGAACCGTAATATTAGATGCTCATCTTCTGTTTTAAGCCAATTTATCAATTAGTTAGCGAAGAAACAAAGACCTAAATTTTTATGAAAACCCATTATTCCATTAACAATAAGCGCATAAAACGCATTTAGGATAACTCTAAAAAAACACTGAAAAAAATATAATCCAAAAAGCAAAGTATGACTCATATTTTCAGCTGCCACGTTAGATACTATTTTTAACTATTCATACACCTCGTATATCCAGCGAACGGTATCATTCCTTCGTAGAAAGAATTAAGCGCGAACAAAACACATTTATCGCTCAATGAAGCACTAGAAAATTCAATTATCCGGAAGGTGCCAAGTCAATTTTTCAAGCCGATACATCATCACCTTATAAAGTCCTCTGAGGCGCAGAGCGATGCATCAAGCGCCGTTAAAAATAGAATTTTTAAGATGAACATTACGGTTTCATGAATACCAACGTCGTATGAAATTTTAATCGAAATCTTAACCCGAAAACTTAACCTGGAAAGATGTGTTAAAAAAATTAAATCCCCTTGAAAAGTTCTTGGTACTTTAGCCTTGGTACCAAGCCCAAATGATACAAGCAACAAATAAAAATCATATGCAATAAATCTCAGTTAATCAAACATTAATATTCACATCATGATATTACAAAAACATTTTGAAATTATATAGGGCGTCTGAATTTCTTTCCTGCATACCTAGCATCCGAACACAATTCCTCCTCGATACGTAGAATCTGATTGTATTTGCACAATCTCTCCGATCTGCAGGGAGCTCCGGTCTTGATCTGTCCAGTGGACAATCCAACCACCAAATCGGCAATAAACGTATCCTCGGTTTCTCCGGATCGATGGGACACCATGGTGCCCCAACCGTACTTCTTTGCCAACTGATGGGCTTTGATCGATTCCGTTATAGTTCCAATTTGGTTGACCTTCAGCAATAAGCAGTTGCAGGACTTCCTGTTGGCGGCCATTTCGATTCTCTTCGGGTTAGTAACGGTGAGATCGTCGCCGACGATTTGAATGCTCACGTTCGCCGTTATGTTAGTCCACGCCTCGAAGTCGTCCTGATCGAAAGGATCCTCGATTGAAACGATAGGGAACTTCTTGATGTACCCTTGATAAATGGCGTACAAGGCGGTGTCTTTCAGCCATTTGGATTTATCTGATCGCGGATTTTTAAAATCGAGATCGTACAGACCGTCCTTGAAGAACTCCGAAGCGGCCACGTCCATGCCGATTTCGATGCGACCGGTGTAACCGGCCTTGGCGATGGCAGTGTTGATCAAGTCCAACGCCTCTTCGGGATTCGGAATGTTGGGCGCGAATCCGCCCTCGTCGCCGACGGCGGTGGCGTCCAAGCCGAAGTTCTGGTGGATGACTTTCTTCAAATAGTGGTAGGTCTCGCTGCCCATCTTCATGGCTTCGGTGAAGCTTCTCGCGCCCGTCGGCAGGATCATGAACTCCTGCATGGCCAGTTTGTTGCCGGCGTGGGAGCCGCCGTTGATGACGTTGAAAGCCGGCACGGGGAGTATTATTGACGGGGTATCGGCTAGAGAGGCGATGTGCCTGTACAGCGGCAGTCCTCTTTTGGCTGCGCCCGCTTTGCACGCTGCTAGCGAAACGCCCAGTATAGCATTAGCGCCCAGTTTGTTTTTGTTCTCCGTTCCGTCGAGGTTTATCATGAATTTGTCGACTTTCTCTTGATCGCAAACGTCCAAATCTTCTCTGAGCATAGCGGGAGCTATGATGCTGTTGATGTTGTACACGGCTTTGTAGACGCTTTTTCCATGGTACTGATCTTTTAATTCGTCTCTTAGTTCCAAGGCTTCGTGTACTCCGGTACTAGCGCCTGAGGGTACGGCCGCCCGGAAAGTACCCAAGTTGGTCTTGAGGTCGACCTCGACGGTCGGGTTGCCTCTCGAATCGAATATACTCCTCGCCCAGATGCTTTTTATGTTAGCATTGTGTTCGTTTATCTTTCGATTGCAAGACATTGTAATTTAAAAAAAAGTCCAGAAAAATTGTACTGAAAATTTGACACTGTTACAAGTTATGACAATTCAATTTATGTTGCGTAAACAAAAAAATATAATAAACAAATCAAATAACCGCTTAGCTCGAATTACTCTTCTAACGGTAAATGGTCTTTTATTTACGGTTCGATTGCACGGACGTGGAAATGACATATTCCGGTTTTCCGGAAAGGTCTTCTCGCCATCCAAAATTCATCGTTCTCACTGACACATTCTCGAAGTGGAAGAAATTCCTTTGAACCAGACAACTCTCCTACACTAAACCCTCGGGGATGAATGTTAATGGAACAAGGTTGTGAAATAGTTTCTACATTTCCCTGTATCCGAAACAGCTTCTCTTTAGTGACGCTTTCCTAAAATACGATATGATATTTTCTAGTAGGGGCGGTTGCCCAAAAACCCTTGTTACTAGGGAACTTATTTTTGGAAGGAGGAAAAGTAAGAATTAAGATTCTTAAAAGGGTTTAAAATTAATTTAAAGATAAATTATTATACGAAAGTTGAAGTAGTATGAATTAGTGAAATATGAAATAATCTAAACCAAAAATACCTTATTTCATAATCCAAAAAAATTGCTGGCGAAACTAAGTAAACCTTAAGTATTTATTATTTATTGGATAATTCTTGGTAAATAGCTGTAAACAACTAATAATTTTTAATTTCAACAGCTCAATATACTTGGTTCTATTTCTAAATTACACTTTTATCTTCTAATTTGACCTACATTATGATTTAATATAATAATTCTTACGAAATTTACGTATACACCCACAATGTTTCATACTCGCAAGTCGGTTATTAATAACATGTCAGCCTACCTATAATGTAAATTGGCATGTATTAACAACCATTCTATTCTAATAATAATAATGAATTAAGCTTAATTACTGCATTGAACAATGCAACTATTTAGCACAAAACATCTATTGAACCGAATCATCGAAAACATGCACATTTAATTGCACTATTAAGAGCCAACGTACAACTATTGCGGTAAAAAATGTGTAACACTTCCTTTAGATAGCTTTATGATGCGGAAAAATTAGACATTGTCATAACTTGGATTTATTTATAAATGTGAGAAGGTAATAATGCGGGTAATGGGTATATAAATTAGTTTCCTGCAAACACTATTTCAAAGCAAATTGTTTCCGTTCGATGCTTCTGTTAGGTGCATTAGAGTCCTTATTCGAATTGAAAAGTATCTATCAATGTTTTATGAATTATGAGGAAATTATGATATCAATTTACTGTTTCTCTTCACCGTATGTTTTAATTCAAAAGCGGAGATTTAAAGAGAGGGAAATTTAATTGAAATTTTATTTCTTACTCGTCTTACTGTTTCTTTCATATCTGAATTTATATGCAACTTTGTAAATAGTCTGTATAAAGTTAAAATAATTATTGCTAAATACATTTAAAATAATAAGCAAGGCGATATCTTATTATCTTTATAATAAACTTGTTTGTTTTGTTTCTAAAAACACTTTTATTAAGAAATATTACAACCCTGTTTATGCTTTTCAAGCCATGTAGCAAGTTACTGTTTCAGCCATAACCCTTATAATAATACTAGCGAGATCGTTTCGGAATCGTTCGAGAATACAAATTTTGTAGATAACATCGCCGGTTAATTTTATTAGAATCTTTACCCGCGTTCCACTAAGAATACTAAACAAAGTCTTAAATCTCAAAAAACAGCACTTTAATATCATAAATTTACGAAAATTACAATTTCGTGAGAATAAACACGACAGAAATAATTCGTGTATACGCGCGGACATAATATGAATTTACAAATTTCCAATATTTTACAAAGAATATTTTATATGTGCCTATAGTTTTGAATTTTTTTTTCACCTTAAGTTTATAGGTACACTTTACCACTTAGTAAATTAATCTAAAATAACGATTAGGTGTGGAATTTATGCACATTAATTACTTGAAAAGCATATATGTTACAATATAATCCCTTCAAGTTTGATCATAAAATATTAACCCTTTATTCAGGAAGCTCTTCTTATTTTACTAATGGAGTTTAGCCTTTTAAGAAGATTAGACACAAGGGATAAAGAACAATAAAGGACTTTAAGGGGCGTTTGTAAAATATTATACATAGTGAAAATATTAACGATTTTATAGAAATATTCGAGGATTATTGAATATTTATTTTGCATTTTATGACAATTAAAACCTTCGGTAGTAAATTAGTTTTTTTCATGGTTAATTCAGATTTTTAGAGGATTTTTTTTTGTTTATGCAAATTTTTATTGCTGAATTTAATATAAAATTTTACATTAAATTAAGGAAGTTTAGAAGTATTTTGGAATAGAGCTTTTTCTAATAGTTTTAGATTTTTCCAGATTCTCTTGCTGGACAATTCAACATTTTCAAGAAACTTTTCAATCACAAGTCCACTTTAAAGTTCAAGCTTCCGGCCGCTAAAGAGCATGGAAAACGCCTATAAATCATCCCAAACTCGGATCTTTTTAAATTGAACAAACTGCCGATGGATATCAATAAGGGGTTATCGCATGAAAAATGGCGATCATCAACTGTTGTCGCGTCATTTTTCACGAGGTCGCATCTGCTTAGTTTTCCATTATCGCGAATGAACCGATAACCTGTACCCGTCAGAATAAATTTCCGAGATCCCGGAATATTCACTTAAAGGAACACAAAAATAATGCTTCATTGTACGAGTAAACGTTATTTTAGGTACTTTTCTCAATCGGGATTTGATAAGTAGGTAAATGAACGCTCTATTAAATTTAATTGAACTAACTGGCACTTCTTTTGTTCTTCTATTCACAGTATAAATGTAAACTAAGGTATACAAAGAGAAAGAATAAGTGATTGATGAACTTCCTCTGAATGAAAAAAAGTAGACGCGGAAATCCTGCCTTTCGAAGGCTTTTTTAATCTGGTATTCCACGAGCATTTTCTATGTATCTCCTTAAATCCGCAATTTCCTTTCTTCACGAATTATTATTCAGAAAGTTAGAAGAACGTTCGATTCGTGAGCAATCCTACTGGATTAGCATCATCAGGAATAACAAATAAATTCGTATCAAAAAATACTCAGTAAACTTGACAGAAACAAACAATTGCTCGCCCGGAAAATTCACCTTTCCTTTAACAAAAAAAAAACGCAAATTGCTGACTGGAAAAGCTCCGGAACCTTAAAAGTTGCAAAAAGGCAGCCTCGTTTACCTAATAACTCGAGCAGCTCCAGAGCCGGTAGTCCTTTTTAAATATTCACTTACATTGCCGGGCACTTTGCGGTTAGTCCTTATAAGGATTTCATAAGTTCGGTTCGCACTTGGGACCTAAAGAACAGCCGAAGGGCCGTCGTTTGTTTTTTTAAATTTCCGGAAAAAAAAACAACAAACAGGAAGGGGATTCTTACTCTCGACTATAAGTTGTTGTGTATTACCTACTTAATGATTGTAGACACACAAAAGAATGAAGTTGATGAATGAGAAGAACGAGAAGATAAAAAAAATTGTGTTTTGGATGGTTGTACAGGGTTATTCATGAACGCAGTAAAGTAGAATAACATTTTTGTCTGTAGAGGTTTAAAGAATATATAGGGATGAAATTTAATACCTTGTCCTATAATTATGGTACACGTTGAATAATAGACAAAAATAATACATCAAAGAAATTTTTAGATAGCTCTACAACTATTGAAGTAGATGGATCACTCTATACACTTTTGTAGGGTTTTTTTGTGCATCATTCTGGCTTTGAAGGAAATTAAATTTGCCATCTGTGAGGCCTAATAAAATAGAGACTAAGTGAAAAAATCATTTACCTCAAAATTCGTAGAAAGTGAATTTCTCTTTTTCGACCTGACCCTTGAGGGTTATTTTATGAATTTAATAACACTTGAATGACAATTCTATCTGAAATAGGAAAACATAATAAGAGGCACGGACCTCCTTATCACAATAACATAACAAGAAATTTTGATTTATAAAGGGCCATAATTTTAGCAAAAATAACACTCTCTATAGAAAAAAAACCAGTACAGCCAGTGGTATATAATTTCCATGGTTGACCGCTGTCGAAATCTCTCAGTAAGCCCCAATTTTTCGCCTTATTCCCACGCACGTATCGCTTAAAAACATCGCAGTGGCGAATCTAGCTCGGTAGGAGACTTCAGGCACCGGAGCCACCCTCCCGTATCGGGACTCCTACCGGAAACCCCCGGCGGAAACGCAGGTCACGGTCGGATGCACGCGTGCTAACGCACTAACGGACGAGCTCCGAACACAAAGCTCAACTCGAGATTACACGGCGAATTGAATTGTACTTACGACAATTGCCATTATATTTAAAACTCTCAGGAATTCTCGAGCGCACTATCTACATGCATAACGAATGCGCCGAATAAAGCGCGTGCATTTCCATATCGTATGCATGTGTAATTGCGAAATTGTCGGCGGCAATTTGACCGATTGTGGAAGATCGTCTCCTAATGAATTTCGAATTGGATACGTACATGTGATCCGTTCAATTTCAATTCACCCAAGGAAATAATATATCGAATTTCCTCAGAGAACGGAGTTATAAACGCCAATCGCTGATGCTGGGCTTCGCAATTTAAATTACCTAACTGAAACTACCAACTAGCCATGTATAGTAAACTCGCCATCCTCCCGTATCTTATTAAAAAAACAAAGAATACTAATGTTAGGTGAAACTTTCTAAATGTTCGTTTGTTGCGACTATTAACGTTTTCATAGGTGGTTGGTTCCACGTGTAATAAAGATTTCTAATTTTTTATTAGATTTATTTATTTTATGGAGAATATGTTGTTATTATTAACTCAGTGTAGAAGATCTGTAAGTGATATTGAAATTCAAATTTGATAAGTTCTGGATTTATTTATGGCCATTTCGAAATGAACCATCGGAACGATATACCCGAAGGGTTGATTTGCGCGTCTCGCGTCTACTACGGTACACTTTTCGCCCGTTTAGTTCTTTACGACGTTTTCGTCGACACCCCTTCGATTTTTTATGGC